CGGATCCTACCGCCCTTCCTACCGCTGTTCCTACCGCAGCACCTTCAGCTGCCCCGACCTCCATGCCCACCTTGTCGCCTACTGCCGCACCTACCACATTACCCACTGCAACTGGAGTTCCTACTGCTAATCCGAGCGCTTTCCCTTCCTCTTTGCCTTCAATGACTCCCACCATCCTGCCCTTTGCGTTACCAAGTGCGGATCCTACCGCCCTTCCTACCGCTGTTCCTACCGCAGCACCTTCAGCTGCCCCGACCTCCATGCCCACCTCGTCGCCTACTGCCACACCTACGCTACTGCTCACTGCAATACCTACGACGGCTCCATCAGTTGCTCCAACGTTTGCTCCCACAAGGGTCCCTACTCCTGCCTTTACGATTGGTCCTCCCCCTCCTTCATAAGTAGCACTTCAAACCACGTCTTGTCCTGGTTTAATTGGTTGATGTTTTCGAAATTCTGGTCGATAAAAATGGATAAATAAAATGGGTAAGACTAAAAAGACATGAGGCTGTTACCATGCATTTTTGTAAGTGTAAGCTTAAAACGTCTTGTACAATACGTCTACGACATCTCTGAGTAATATAATATAATATAATATAAATACATATAAATATTTGAATTCGTATCCTATTTATGTGCAAATGTAGCCGGCAGTTGTGAGCTAGACCTCTGAGATGGTATCCCTTTCAGAAAATCTCATACATACATCCCATATCCTGGCACAGTGAAGTGGTGGACAGAATTGTCAATTATCAAAGCCTTCAAAGATCAGGAATCATTTTTTTGCCTATTAATGTACATGTCTTCGCTAGGAGTTCAAAATTTACTGCATGGGATCTCAGCTTTAATATCTGGTACATTCAATAAACATGTTGGCATGTTGTGTTTAGATAAGGATTCAATGACGTATTTTAAGATGGAATTAAGATGGCCATGCGCCTTTGATACAATTATGATGCTTGCCTCTACTTGTCATGATACTCTTCAATTATATATCACCATGTCGGGGAGGATCTACCTAAGCGATTCATACACGCAAATTTCAATAACCAAGAAAAAGTATGGATTGGGCAATGCTTCGTTAATCGGAGCACGACTCGTTATATGCGTGTTGAGAACGTATTTAAGGATTGAAGAAGACACGTAAATGTTTTATTGTTATCAAAAGAAAGGGATATATTTTCTTCTTTATGACGTCCTTAAACCTGTAATTATCAACCACTGTGGCCATCGAAGGTGTTTTGGAATTTTAAGAAAGCGTATTTTGTATTGTAAACAAAATATACATGTCGAGCTGCGTGGTCCCGGCGCCTTACTCTTTTCTTTCAATCACATTCTCCGAAAACCCCGCCCCCAAAAACGCTGCCCACCATAACAATAAATACAAATTTCTATATATAAAAGAGGGCAGGCATCAGACATACCGGCACTGCCCCGTGCCAAACCCACGACCGTGCCGGCATGGGCCGCCCAACCTCCTCTCCCCCTCGCCGAGGATACCATATCTTGCCGCCAGCGACTCATGCCTTTTCGAGCCGGTTAATGCCACTCGACACCCCAAACCGTGTCGCGTGCGCGAGCCGACGTCCTCAAGTCGGGGATCGGAAGGGAGGAAAGGACGGCGAGCGTCGGTGGTCGACTTGTACCCTCGGGACGGACGGGTGCACGGGGAGCAAGGCTGCACGAGCGTGGCCATCAATTATACGCGTATCGTCATGTATTGTTGAGGCGGCATCAAACCCGAGATTTCTGTCTTTTCCGTACACTGGCTCGGGCCCAGCGTCTCCTCCCGGACGACCGGGAAGCCTTGTGTCCGCGTGAGATCTTGAGGCTCTGGTGTTTTCCTTTTTCCACGCGGGCATGCATGGGATTTTTGCATGTTTTTATATATATATGTTCGGGCTGGAGCAATTTGTGACGTGGATTGTACACGTGGTTCGGCACGAAAATGCCCCGAAGGCGATGACGGTGCGCCCAAGGACACCACTCCAGAAGGCTCGTTTCTCGAGCCTGATCCGTGGTGTCCCTTCTCTTGGCAACTTTGGGATTGTCACAGCTTTGATATTTGTGTGTGGTTGTCTTCAGTGTCGTGTTTGGCAATGGTGCTTGGTCATGACTGCTTCAGGCTTGCCGCATGTATTTCAGAGCGACCTCCCTGAAAAATGGCATCCAGAAATGTTCCAGATCTCCCAAACATGTACTTTTCACTGCACCTCACACGTTGACATGCTTTGGAATCAGGGTGGAAGCATGTGAATGGGCTTAATTTTGCCTCAAGTCTCAGAAACGTGTCGTTGTATCCCCGCATCTCTACACTACCCTCCAATCGGAACACTTCCTCACTTTGGACCCTTTTCGCATATCCTGTCTCAAACACAGCGTCCACGACAGCGAAGACAAGGTGTTACGTCTGAGTGGGAGAGCCTGTAATACCGCATCATGGGGGTCTTCTCTGCCTCCTCCTCCTCCTCCCTTTCCTTTGCTTCCTTCCCCTCTTCCTCCAGCACCGCCCGTTCTCTCCCTACGGCCGTTCTCCTCCTCACCACCTTGACTGCACTGACATCGTCCGTCACCGCGTTCCACGCTCCTTCCACTTCCATCACATCCTCCGCACACATGACTTTTCCAGCCTCCTCGCGCACCAGCAGCGGCGGTGCAAGGTCGCCCCTGCCCATCAGAGCCCGTCCTCGACGCACCGTGTTCATGGAGACCCCCCTGGAAACCGGGGCTGGGAGCAGCAGCACTAGCAATGTGCCCCCCCCAGGCACGGGTCCTTACCAAGGCCCGTCTTCCTTCCCCTTGCTGGACTCGGTCCGGTACCCGCACGACATGAAACGCTTCGACCTGAAGGACTTGAAGCAACTCGCGCACGAACTTCGGTGGGACACCCTCCACCACGTATCCAAAACAGGGGGCCACCTGGGCTCCTCCCTAGGCGTGATCGAACTCACCGTCGCCCTCCACTACGTGTTCAACACCCCCGACGACCGCATCGTCTGGGACGTCTCCCACCAGGTCTACCCGCACAAAATTTTGACCGGGCGGAGGGACAGGATGCACAGCCTCCGGCAGACCAATGGGCTGTCCGGCTTTGCCAAGCGGAGCGAGAGCGAGTATGATGCCTTTGGGGCAGGGCACTCCTCCACGTCCATATCGGCGGCGTTGGGGATGAGCGTGGGCAAGCTCCTGACCAATAAACGGGTCAACAACTGCGTGGCGGTGATTGGGGACGGGGCGATCACAGGCGGGATGGCCTTTGAGGCGTTGAACAATGCTGGATACCTTCGGTCCCGCATGGTGGTGATATTGAACGACAACGGCCAAGTCTCCCTCCCGACTGGCACCCATTCCGCCGGGGGTGTCGTCCCAGCCGGGGCCCTCTCTTCCTACACCTCCCGCTTGCTCTCTTCCAAGCCCTTCCAAGACTTTCGATCCTTTGCCAAAGGGTTGAACCGGCTGATGCCGTCGGAGATTCAGGACATTAACGCCAAGCTGGACGAGTACGCCCGGGGTTTGATCCAGGGGGGCACCCTGTTCGAAGAACTCGGCTTCTACTACATCGGGCCCGTGGACGGCCACGACTTGGACAACCTGGTGCCTATTTTAGAGAATTTGCGGGATTCGCCCTCCACGAAACCCGTGTTGCTGCATGTGAAGACCGAAAAGGGGTACGGATACCCCCCGGCGGAGGTGGCCTCTGACAAGTACCACGGGGTGGCGAAATTCGACGTGTCGACCGGGAGGCAGTTTAAGGGCGGGAACAAGGGAGCTCCGTTGTCCTTGACCACGACATTTGCCAACGCCCTGTGTGAGATCGCGGCGGAGGACAGGACGGTGGTAGGTATCACGGCAGCCATGCCTGGCGGAACGGGGATGGATATTTTCGGGAAACGCTTTCCCAAACGCACATTCGACGTGGGTATTGCGGAGCAACACGCCGTGACCTTCGCGGCGGGGATGGCGATTGAGGGGTTGAAACCTTTTTGCTGCATTTATTCCACGTTTATGCAGCGGGGTTACGACCAAGTGATCCATGACGTGGTGATTCAAAAGCTGCCCGTTCGGATGATCTTGGACCGGGCGGGTCTGGTGGGGAATGATGGACCAACCCACCACGGCTCTTTTGACCTGTCCTACCTGGGGGCCCTGCCGGACATCGTCATCATGGCCCCGTCGGACGAGCTGGAGCTGATGAATTTGTTGGAGACGGCCTACGAGACCAATGATCTGCCGTCCGTGGTACGCTATCCCCGGGGCGCGGGCTATGGATTGGAGACTTTGAAATCTGAGTTGGGCTACGAAGGGTTGGAAGAGTTGCCCAAACGCGGAAAGGCGGTTGCCCGCGGGAAGGGGCGAATCATCCGTCGTTCCGCGGTCGTCCCATCCACGGCTGCGCCAGGCACATGTCGCGTTGCCCTATTGTCGGTCGGGACCCGCCTGCTCGACACGGTTCACGCAGCCAAAGAAATAGAGGAAAATTTACCCGGTGTAAGTGTGACGGTGGCGGACGCGCGTTTTGTGAAACCTCTGGACAAGGAAATGGTCTCGTCTTTGGCCATGGAGCACGACGTCTTGATTACGGTGGAGGAGAACAGCGTCGGGGGTTTCGGGTCGTTTGTGCAGCAATTCCTTCTGAATGAAGGCCTGTTGGATGGAGGCAAGCTCCGATTGCGGTCGATGGTCCTTCCCGACCGGTTTATCGAAGCAGGCCCGCAAAGCGATCAGTACGATCAGGCCGGACTGGCCGCCAGGCATATTGTGGAGAAGGTGGAGGGCCTGGTGCGGGGGCGGGAGGAACGCATGCTACAGCAAGAACAGCAACAGCCCCAGCCGCATCAACAACAGCAACAGCAGACGGGAGCGGGAGTGGGGACGGTGGCGGAGATGGTGGGGGTAGGTGCAGGCAAGTCTAGCAGCAGCAGTAGTAGCAGCAGCAGGCAAGGCACGTCCTTTCAAGTTCTTCCTTGACAGTAGGGGGGCAAAATGTGGGGTGACAAAGGTCGGGAAAGTCGAAAAGGCGGCTGGGGTTTTCTCTGGCGCGCTTGAGGCTGGCGGAAGGACGTGTGTAAGCCTGGTAATGCCTGGTCTCTGAACCTCGCACTGTAAATTTATGCGGGAGTAAGCCTGATGGAGAGTTGACAAATGAAGGGGAAGGAGTAGCGTCGAGAGGATTGCACCGATGAAATGTTTGAATGCATTTTGAACAGTTGAGGGAGAAGGTGAACTTTTCGGGCGATGGGGATGACGGGAGAAATTTTCGGTGTAAGTGATGCTCGAGGAGCAGAGCCATGACGACGGGAGGGAGAGAACGCGCGTCCAAAAGTGGACAACGTACTGAAGAAGCAAAAACGTCTCGCGACGGGAGACAGTTTCGTTCCAGCATTCCATGTCGAGCCTGGAAATTGCGGTGAGATGGCTTTCCCATGCCGATTCCGCCCCCCATTAACACGAGCAGCTCCGACTCGCGCGAAATTAGACTTTATTCTTCGTTCAAATCCATGCAAATGTAACCCCCTCGCTGTGTTGCTGCCCGTTGTAACCCTAATGCCGCACAAGCCTCAACTATGGGACGAACAATCCAATGCACTTGCAGGACACGCGCAAGATGTTTCTTAAAGGATGCATTACAACATGTACATCTAATTACGAGAGTTTTCAAAACCGCGCTGGACGTGCGAAGAGACCTGAATGCCCACAGTGCACGCATGCTTGGGCTTGGGTGACCAAATGGGCGAAAGAAAGGTGCTGTCATCCCCATTCAGGCTCATCGAAGCCTCAGATGATTTATCATCCCTTTCTTCCACATTCCTGAATACAAACAACTCTACTGGCGCAGACGCACGTAGCTTTTACTCCAGCAGTCTCCAGGCAGCTCTCCTTCCCCCTCCTCCCTTAATGTAGCCTCAAAGGCAATATACACGTGTTCTCGGACAAATATCCTACTTTATGCATCCCTACCTGCTTAGACATTTCCTTCCCCCCTTTTTCACAAGCTTTCTTTCTCTAACCCACTGTCGAGGTATCTTCTCTTTTGCGCGTAAAAAAAAAATCAGGTCGCGTATGCACAAAAATTTACTGCTTTCCACATACCCCTTTTCTCGTTGACTCGCCCTGCCGATGCTGTCACTGCCGCTGCGAGGGTAAGGCCGCGCTGTCAGTGACCCCTTCCCCTACCCCTTTCCCCGCGCTGCCAGTTTCCTTCCATCCCAAGTCTGTGGGGCAAGGACATGCGTCCAGCTTGGCTTTAGACACGAGCCGTTCTCCCTCCTCCTGCTCCCTCTCCTTGTCATCCTCCGGCTGAGGTGAGGTGTGCACCGTCGTGGACCTGCCTAAATTAGAGCCGCCTTCTCCCTGTGGCGTGCACGGGGAGCCGAGCCCCTTGCCTGCTGCAGCGATCGTGGGGGGCGGAGCACGGGCCTGACGGGCAGACACCGGGTCTGTGGCCGCCTTGGCCTTCTCTTCAAAACCTTCTTTTCCGCTCTCGGTCTTCACTGCGCTTTCACATTGGGCACCGGTACTCCCTGGTTCCTCTTCCGCAATGGCAGCTGTGTCCGTCTTCGGCCTTGTCAAGTCCGTGGTCAATGTCTGAGGAAAAGCAAACGCTGGCATGGGCATAGGGAGTTGTCGCTTTTGTTGCAGCCAGAGCATGTAATATTGTTGCTGATAGAGCTGTTGCTGTTGCTGAAGCTGGAATGTCTGCTGCTCATGTAGGAAGGGTGCCTGGCCACCTAAGCCCCCTGCTGTCCCACTCGATGTCGCCTGGGAGGAGGGGACATAGGGCAAAGGTGAAGGATACATATTCCGCATTTGCGCTCGGGCAAGGGCCATGTGCTGGATGTATGCAGCTCTTAGAGTATCCATGGACAGGCCTGCTTTATCGCCGCCCTGGATCCCCGCTTGGGTCACTGCAGCGGATGCGGGAAACCCTTCGTTAAAGCCGCCGTATAAATTCGGAATGGAATAAAAGCACGAAGGGTTGAAGGAGGGAGGGAAGGAGGGAGGAAATGAGGGAGGGAAGGAGGGAGGGGCAAAGGAATTGCCGATTCCGCATGTGGTTGTCCCCGCCGCCGCTCCCAGGGAAGCGACAGCAGCAGCGGGAGGGGCAGGCGCTGCAGCGGCTGCATCTCCCTGATGTAGATGGGTGGACACCTGCTGGGCTGCCGTTGCTTGTGGGAGAAAGACGTGGAATGGCATCGACGGAGGGAGCGAGTCCTGAAGTGGCGCTGAGATGGCTCCAGAGGCTCCCGTGTAGCCGCCGGGTGGGCCAGTGGTGAAGGAGGAAGGGAAGGAGGGCGGGACGGAGGAAGGGAAGGAGGGCGGGACGGAGGAAGGGACGGAGAGGGCAGGAGACGCAGGTTTCTCGAACGTAGGGGAGTTGATGCTCATCAAGTGTAACATGCTGGTGGTAGAAGGGGCCCTGGCCAGGCCGTGGCCGAAGTCGCCGCTGCTCTTGTTGTTGACGTCATTCGTATCGTCGGTGCTCTCGTCGGGGGTAGCGTCCCTGTGGCGGCTTCCTTCGCCGTCCCCCACGCCGTCCGAGCATTTTCGCTTGTGCCCGCCCGTGGTCGTGGCACCGACCGGCGTCCATGGGGCAATGGGGCTGGGGGCAGAGAGAGGCGCGTGCGGAGGGGAGGGGCCCTCGCTCCAGGCGAGGAAAGCCGGACTCGGGAGCTGGAAGCTCCGGCCATCCTCCGCCCCCCCCTCCGTCCTTCGCCCCTTGCCCTCTGTCGAGTCTTCGCCCTCCACGGCGAGTGGGACAGAGCCTAGGGTCGTGGAACTCTCGATCAACTCGACCTTGCGCGCCTCCAATACCCGGATTTGCTGACAAAGCCTCGCTTCCTCCTTGGGGTCGTGGCCCGGTTGTCCTGCCGAGGCCCGCGCCGTGGTCATTGCCACCTTCAGGCACTCCAACGTCCTGTCCAGGCTTTTCACCTGCCGGTAAGGCCAGCGTTTGATATGGTACCGCCGGCAGATTTTTTTCAAGAGCGTGGAGCAAATGCCGAGAGCGCGGGCCGCGTCTTCGATGGGTCGGTCGAAGTACCGGCGGAGCTCCACCAAGCTGACGCTTTTCAATGACCGACTGGACCCTCCAGACGCAAGGGTGGAGGCGGATGGCCGCGGTGACTTGGTGCCAGGAGGGCTGGTAGGGAAAGGTTGGCTTTTCAACGGCTGGATGGGCCGTACCAGTCCCACAGATTGTAGAGGGGTGACGCGACCTCCCTCCCCCCCGCCGCAACCGGGGCGCCGGCCTTGCAAGCTCTGGAGCAACTGCAGCTCTTTCTCTTGAACAGGCACAGGAGAGAATCCGCCATGGCTCCTTTCTACTGCGGGTGCCACCCTTCCCGTTGCCTCCTTCCTTGTCGTCGTCGCGCCATAGGCGTCCGTCTGGTCGATCGGGTCGGAAGGGAGGGAGGGTCGAGCCAAGGGAAGGCCGGGGCCTGGATGGGACCGAGGAGATGCCGGCAAGGTACCCGGAGAAGGGAGAGCGATGCGATCGGGTGACGTGCGCGACTTTCGCGTCCGTCGGACCCGGGTTGTCTGGCCATCGGAGGAGGGTTGGCTCGCCGTATTCGCGGCTCCCGAGGCACGGAGGGACTTTAACGGCTCGTTCTCTACCCCGACGTCCATCGTCGTCGAAGCTTGCGGGAAGCTTGGGGAGGAAGAAATGGGTGACGTGGAGCACAAGGACGGCACGGTCGAGGGAGATGCGGAAGAGAGGGGGCCGTGCACGCCTGAGGGCGAAAGGGGGAAGCGCGAACACTTTGTCTGTGCTGTGGGCGAGGATACTGGGCCAGGTGCTCCGGACGATGCCTTATCACTCATTGAACCAATGGCGGAGGAAGCAGCAGCACGGACACCTGAAGGCTGTGGGTTTTGGAATGGAGGGAAAAATGAGAGTTTGGAAGGCAAAACTTTAGGAACTGATGTTCGGGCCTATTGACAAAAGAAATAAAGCTTGTACATCGCCGTCCGTCGCGACTTACACTGCCAAGCGTGGACGTGCGGGGTGATTTTTGGGGCGGGTGTTGGTGCACAGGACCGGCAGCCAAGGATAAAAGCCATTCGGATGCCAGCATGTCAACAGAGGTCGTATTCGTGCCGGTCACTGCCCCTGCAGGACTGGAAGCGGCCGCTTTGACACCGCCCGTGTCGCAACCCATGCTTGAAACGGTGGTTTTACCGCATGCCGTGGCTGCTGCGGCCGCTGGAGGAGAATGGGTTTTGCAGTCTGAGGCATCGATATTTGGATTTGAATAGGTATTTGCGTCCGGAGTGATGCTTATCGTAGAATCTGAAGCACACGACAAGGATTGAGGCGGTGCAGCTGGTAGCACTTGACCGGTATACATGATGGTATGCCTGATATGACAGCGTGAGTGGGTGAATATAATCAAGGAGCGATTTTCGTGTCCAGATAATATGGACGTGTAGACGAATGTCAAAATTTGGGTCATCAGCGAACAGTTGCTCGCTTCGGTCAACGGTCAGTCCTGTACACATGGCGCAAAAATAAAGGCCAGGTTTGCGTTAAAAACGTCCCGCGCCACACATGCACCACCACGGCATCAATGCCCATCCAAACATTCCGTTTGCGCCTCAGACAGGCCGGAAGCGCGTGGACAAGCCAGGGGCCGCGCCGGACCTCGAGGTGGGCGGTGCACCTCTTCAGGATTTCAAAAATGAAATTTCTGATTCCATGGGCTATGGGGAGGGCCCCCCGAAAAATTGTCCTGGCCAATAACAGGAGAATGTACACTCAATCCACACATCCTAGTCATGCATGTATGATTAATCTATTTCTCGTACTTGCGTCCTGGGCGGTGGGTCCAGGACGGGAAATGAAAATGGTAAAGCCTGGTTGGACGTGGTGCGAAGTCCTTCGCCCGTTAGGAAGACGATGCTCGCCACGTGCTGTCGATTGGGAGAGGTCTCGAAACCAAGTGTTTGGTCGTCGGGTCTTTCGAATCATCGTTTACGCTGAAAGGGTGCGCCATACATTAAGAGTGATAAGAATTTTATGCTTGTCAAACGCGGAAGGCGCTGTCATGCTGCGGACGTGGGAACGAAATGAGAGATGCTGATTTGTCCGCGGTTGCAAATGATGGAAATTTTCGGGCGATCTATTCCTCTGCTTCTAGGAGATAAAAGGTGTTGAGGTGCTCCAAAAAGCAAAAGCACGCAAGCGGATACGAGTGTGGGGGTAAATACAAGCATGATCACCCTTACGTTCTGAAAAATCAAAAATATGCCCTCTTCGGTCATGCAGGTTGAGATATGTTAGCGCAGTAAATTTAGAGGCGATAACCCTCTCCTGGCCCCTGCACTCTCTTGTCTTTCACAGGAAAGACACCCAAATGGTAACGCGAATAATATATCTTTTTTAAAGGATTATGGTATATCTCCGACGCGTGATAAAGAAAGAAGAATGAAGGTTACAAGAAGTTGGTGCGCATTTACTTGTTTTCAGCGACGTACGTTCGTCGAGCTCTTCAAGCAAGCAAGAGGAAGAAAACAACCTTTGGCTCGACAAGGGCCTCGATCTTTGTACAAACTAATTCTTCATGATAGATTTCCACCAATGACAAAAGTGGAGGCACGCTCACTACGGTATCTCTTTATTTCACAATGGGTGGGAAAAAAAAAGGCTATTCGCAGGCTCTTGTTCAAGCTATATATCTGCTCGAGTAGAAACCCCACACCCTCAAAAACCACAACCCCTGCATCCAACCATCTGACACTCCTCCACCTCAATCTATGTATGACTATATGTCTATGCATTTAATGTATGAATATCTACACATATTTTACCCTCCTCACCTCCATCGTCGTTTCCCCCCGAAAACAGGACGCACATCTACAGCACGGCAACTAGCATATGCCACACCACATGTTGTTTCGTTCCCTCCTTGCCAGAGAGAGCACCTCATTCAATCGCCCTTGTATAAATTCGCGACAAATTACTACGATCACCGCTTGCTCCCGTCTCCATTTTCCCGCCTCGAGGCCTTCAGTCAAAGACGCGGACGGGAATGGCCTCCGGCAAGTCTTTCCGAGACAGATAAATGGCCACATCCGTTCCCCAACCCTGGACAGAGATGAGGCGAATATCTGTGTTGAAGAGGGGGGAAAAGGCGGGAAGGGGGTGGGAAGCCATGTCAGAGCGCGGAAGGGACAAGGAGCAACAGGCAGTCCCTACAAAACGCCGCCGCCCCCCCCCTCCATAGGTACGAATCAGACCACAATCCGACCTCCCCATGCCTCCCTTTTCCGCGCCAGCCCCTCACTCCCCCCCAACTGCCGGGCGTAGAGCCGGGAGACGGGCAAACCAATCCCCATGCCCTGCATCGGCTCCATGGCCGGTTGGTAGCTCTGTTGCATTTGCTGCTGCTGCTGTTCGTATGTCTCGGCCGCGGACGTAAAGAGGTATTCGGTGGCATTGGACATGGTGCGGAGGGACATCCCGTCCCCGAAGTCCCGGATCCGCACGCAGACTTCCTCTTTCCCGGGAAATATCTGCCCGCGTGGAAAGGGTAGGGGGGGGGGGGGGAATCAGGTCAACACTGCGGTCATGACGACAACATCGATGCACTCGTCCTCCGAGGCGCAGACATTCTAAGTCCCCGCGGGGGGGTGTATGAGGAGGGCAAGCTAGGGAGACGACAACGAAGGGGTCCGGGGCGAGGGGGGGGAGACGAAGGGGAAGACAGAAATAAGCCGTCCGCACCTACCCGGACTTTGACAGCAGGCATGTTGTTCAAATTTCGGCGCACCGCACTTTCCACCGTGGCCTTGAAGGCATTTTTCAAAATTTCAAACAGGGTGTGGTGGAAATGGGCGGGGATGAGGGTGGCGACCGCGCCGGGAGGCTCGTCGATGACCACGGGCGGGATCCGTTCTGAGAAAACCACGGGAGCCATTGAAAAGACACAGGGGGAAATAGGAAGCGCGGGTGCCCGGTCAGAGAGAACCAAGCCGGGCGAGCTTCCCCTTGCTGGGTGCCGCTCAATTCGCTCCATTTTCTCTTTTCTCCCTCCCTCTGTTCCCCGCCCCTTTAAATTCTTCCCTCCCAATCCCTCCCTCCCTGCCCCTCACCCTGGTAGTAATGCTCGCACAAGGCCTCGACCTCCGCCTTGCAATCGTCGATCAGCTCCTTGATCCGGCAATTTTCCACCACTGAGCCCCACCGCTTGTTCACCACGTACGGGGATTCGTGCCAGGCGGAAGAGGAGGGCGAAGGTATCATCCCGGCCATGGCCTCCTCCTCATCCCCTGCCTCCGCTCCTCCGTCTTTCCCCCCTCCCCCCCCATTCAGGACCGGGGTCGTGGGCACAAAAGTTTGCTCGCCCGGCGACTTGATGATGTCCAAGTAGTGGCGGATGAGCGTAGCTGCGGGTCGGGTAAGTGCATGACCGAGGGGAGAGAGAAAGAAAGGAGGGAGGGAGGGAGGGAGGGAGGGAGGGAGAGGGAGAGTGAGTAGCGGTCATCCAGGCACCCACCATCCTTACTGCCCGTCGTCATCCCTCCCGCCCTCGCCATGCAAAGCTCTCCTGCTCCCCACACTTGCGGTCCCCTCCCTCCCTGCCCCTCGACGCCATCGCTCACCAATCCCTATTCGAGCTTGCAGGAATCGATCCACTTGAGAGGTGACGATCGGTGTGATAGGGTCCGTGCCTGGGGGCGGGGGGGCGCCCTCCGCCTGCCGCTTATAGCTCTCCTTCAGCCCGTCCATCAATGTCTCTACGACCATGGCCATTCTACCTTCGATTTCGCTCATCAAATGGTTGAAACTCTCAATCACGACGGGCTTCATGTCCTTGCTACCCAAGCAGGCAATGGCATCGTCCAACGCCCACAAGCGTTCGTACACGTCGATGTGAAGGGCAAGCAGGTTGTCCACTCCTTTGCTCGCAGGGAGCACGTGTTGAAGCCTCAATATCTGATGTCCAATGCGAGTGCGAAGCTCGCGGTGCAATTGTTGAATCACAACGCCTTGCAAGGGTAAAAAGCACTGTGCCGTGACGATCAACTGGGAAGGTCGAGAGGGTTTTGCTTGTCGCCGGGCATCGATACCAAGACGACGGCCCAATTCCGCTGAAAACACTACAATGTGTCGACTTTGTTGGCGTGTGAATGGGTAGAGGTTACCGCGTTCCCTGTTCAGGTTATAAATAAGGCAAGGGATTCTGGGCAGTCTGCGAGATGCCTCGAGCTCAGTGGCGAAAAAATGCCCAGAAACGCGCCTTACACTCCCCACGGTATGTACGTACCGACTTAAGCTTGTCGCGTTAAGAGCACGGCTCCCGGTCTCGATAATGGTGCTGTGAGAAGGTCTCCCGTGAAAGAAATTACAAAGCAGCAGCAGGGAAGGGTAGGAGGTCCCGCTACTTGTTGCCGGCCGCCGGCAAAGCCGTAGAGTATTTAGCATGGCAATGTGCTAGCTTTTGTTTGACCTCCACTATATTCGTCTGCTCTTATAGGAAAAATGCAGGGAAACCAGGTGGATGTTGGAATGAATTTTGGTTTTCCATTTGTGACGGATTGCTCGCTTTTTGGCTGCCGTCGCCGGGCTCGGACACACGAGGGGTGGAAACCAAAGGCCAGTGCACTTATAAACAGCCCTGGTGCGAAGGTGACCGCACCCTCTGCTGTTTGTACAGGTCAGATCGCTGCACAAGCACAAGGATATTTACCGGTTGAATTCAACAATGTTATCTGACAAATATACTGTTTGAAGACTGGCTCCAGGGGAGATTTGTCGATGACGCTTGCCGCTGCGTTGATTCGTTGTCATTCGATCGTGCCATAAACATAAAAATGCTCGCAATAAGCGCGAGCATGTGAGCCATTTTCATTTGAATGGTAGCCCTTAAGGATGAACGAAGTCTGAAAGAATTCATTGGGGGGGTTGAAAGAAACATATCTGTCTTTGAATCTGACCATATGCTTTCCCCTTGCTATATTTACTTTATCTCGCTTTGTTTTTTGACAGGGAATTTTCGTCCCTGTCTTCGATATCCATGTATCTATCTTGCACATCCTTTACACGATCCGCGTCAGGTTGTGCTCTGAATGCCAAGCCCGACAGTGTTGACAACAAAGCTGCTTCTCCCTCCCTTCCCACCAGTGCTCTTTCTTCTGCCCCTAAAAGGTATCCATTGCACTTATCCACTACCGCCAGCACTCTTTCGATACAATCGGCATCTTGAATATTCAAGGGATGGAATGCGACCAATGAAAAGTCCTCTATTAGCTCACATAACGCCTCGTTTAGCTTGCGATACCGTCTGGCGAACCTCCCCCCCCCCGACGTTCCTGCTTCCCGTCCGTCTCTTTTTCCCTCACCCCCATCCTCGATAGAGCCTTCCCTAACTTCCTCTTCCCATCCGTTTTCGTCCTCCCTGCCTCCGCCCTCCTCCCCTTCCCGCCCTGGGTCTTTGTAGGTGGATCGTGTCCCCACATAGGGCAAAAGACGTTGCACATCAACCACATCTGTGTAGAAGTTCAAGTCAAAAGCCAAGCGCCCATAGGATTCGACCAAATCTACCTTACTCAAAACGTTGACATGGGGGAGTTCCAGCCGCACCATGGTTGTCAACGAAATGAGCACGGCCGAAATGAACTTGCCGGCATCGCTAAGAAGGGAAGGACAGGGTAGGGGGGGAAAGGAGATGTTTATACCCGCCATTTGCATGTGTCAACCACGATCACACCATTTCAAATCAACGCTACCGGCCCCAGATCGGCGACGCCACCTACCTGCAGTGGTGGGCGTCTACCAGATGCACGGCGGTCAACCGACAGCCCCACTTCTCCAGACGTTGCAACAGACGTTGAACCGCCTCGCCATGCGTGTAGAGCTCGATCTGTTCGGGTGCGCGCCGCGTGCAGAAGGAAAGAGGGTCAAGGTGCAGGACCGTTTGAGCACGTGGAGCCCCGGGCGTAGAGAGAGGGCAGGAAGGGATACCACCGGCGCCCGGGCCCATGGGAGGGGACGATGTATATATATATATATACGATAGTAACCAGGAGTCACGAACGACATGTCATAAAACCTTCATAGCCTGCGTTTGCTCACAATACTACAGGCCCTGAGACCAGCCCCTGCCTGTGTCCAAGAGGCCTCCCTGCTTGACAGCCCCCTCCAGTTTTCCTTCCCAGGTGGGTCAAGCACGCCCCCCTAAACCCCGCATTCTACACGCGGACATTACCACTATTGCCCCGCGCATACCTGTCCGGGGAAATCGAAGAGGACGTAGCGCCGTCCTTGCAAAGCTTCCAGTCGTTCAAGCAGCCAGTCAAAGTTTTGCTCCAAATAATCCATGCAGTACACGAGGCCGCCGTTGGGTCCCAGGTTATGTGTCTCCATGACATCCTGGGTAGTACCAATGAAAGAGACGTTTGAATGGCGAGGGAATATTTGTGCGACATCGACGCCGGAGTGGGAGAGCAGCTTGTGCTCAAAAGTGCGTGGACAGGAAGGGCAGACAGGAAGCGATCGACCAAAGAGAGGGAGAACAGGGGAACAGACCACCCCCCCAAAATAACGATTTTACAGCATACATAAGCCAAAAGCCATGCACATCCTTTCGGCTGTCGTCTAGACCCACATTGCGTTGTGGCATCCCTCTTCAGGGTCCATTCCCAGCACCGGACGGAGGAAGCTTTGCGCTCGATCCCTCTCACCCTTTTCCTGTCCAAGCCTTACCGCCAAATTCACGAGTTCTGAGACGTCTATGTCGACAGGAAAAGGAAGTTTATCGTTGGCAGGGTCCAAGTTGACGACCGCCACAGGTCGACCCCGCGCACTCAGGAAACGGGCTATGCCGTGGCAATACGTTGTCTTCCCAGCACCGGGAGGGCCGATGACAGCTTGTCCAAACCGTGGTCCATGGATGAGACTTCTCTTCATTTGTTTGATATCTTTAGAAAGTTGGTGGAGAAAAGAAGGAATCAGATAAATCACATGGCTGCTTTAAAAACGCAGTACACGCTGCTTCAACCTCCCCTCCTTCTCCGTGCTTCTGACTTAGTGATAGATGAAGGATATTGTTAAAAGAAACATCCAACTCTCTATGTCGCACAGTACAACTCCCAAATTTTACTGTCCGGCTGCCATGCAGTAGAATTCACTCCTACGGGATATTTGTCGCTCTCAAAAGAGGAGAGCCGTCTCGCTCAGAGCAACGGGCACCCGCCGATATTTTCTTTGCGTCATTTTTCTGTCTGAATCAATGTCTCCGTGCGTATACCATAGAAACAGGCAGTCTACCAAAATTAGTATGAAGCGGATGCTGGCACACGTGAGGTACATGATTTCTTGTCGTTTCCTATTGTTTGTCTGTGACAAAATTATTTTGGGAAAGTGAGGTAAACTATCCGATGCACACAACACCCTGCAGAGGAATTTATCAGAGGACTGTACTGTATTGGTTTCAACGATATCGATGAGAATGGTCAGTTTTTGGTCCCCTTTCTTGCCTGGCGTCTTGCTTTAAAGCGCTACGTATCTCCATTTGACCCTGATACACGCCACGGCCTTCCGCCGTACCACATATGCCCAGATATCCCGCCTGCACACCTCGTTTATCGTGTCCTTGCACGTCATTTTCCACGTCTTCTTCTTCACCAGCGCCCGGTTCGGAGGACGCCTATCTTGATGAATGGATGCGCAAGCAAATTAAATCTTTTGCCTTTTACGAGGAGGAGGGTTTGCAACGACGTTATTTTTATACTGTCGATTTGCAGGGGCGGTTATACTTGGAGGAAAGTCCCGTCAAGAATATGACATCTTGTTTGAAGGATGACAAGGTAGGTCGTGGAAAAATGAATTAGAAATGGGGGGGAAAGAGAGCAACAGAAGGAGGAACAGAGAAAAGCGAAGAGCTCATAGACTTTATTCAACTACATCTTCTCCATGCATTAGCAATCCAACGCTCACTCTTCTCTTCAACGGACTTCATCTTCCAATCCCGCCCATTTCTCCAGTTCCTCAATTTCTTTTTCCGGCAAATCCGACGGAACGACACGGGCCTTCATCCCTCCTACCCTTTCGTCTCTCCATGCGGCAAAGAAATGAACTACCTCCTCCCCGCCGACATGCCCGTCGTTTTCCACGACCTGCTCCCTGCCCTGTCGGGCAACGAGAAGTCGGGAGACAGAGGAGATTGTTTGGTCTTCGGGGGGGGGGTTGCAACAACGCTTTGACCCAAGCCGGGTGCACTTGTCGAGGCGCTCAGGGCGTCTGTATCATCCCGTGGAGGGAGGGAAGCGAGTGCGGGGACAGCCTGGCTTTGGATTACTGCGTTCACACGTGGCATTCCTTCTGTCAGACGCGTTGCGGGAGGGCGCGGGCGGGAAACTGGCGTTGGAGTGGGAGGGAGGCGGGGAGGCAGAGGGAGGGAGGGAGGGAGGGAGGGAGGGAGGGAGGGCTGAGTATCCGATCAGGGAGCTCCCAGACGAAGAGGAGCCGGTGTGGGGAATGCCACCTGCTCGACCGGCGTAGCCTTTCATGTTAAAATCCCATGGAATGTGCTATAGGGTAAACAAAAGAGGAGTTGGACTGAGGGTGAAAATTCCCCGGTTCCACCCCTGCCCCCGGTCAAGAGCGGCAGGGAGACTAATCGACATAATGCGTGGGGCAAGCATCGCCCCCTTTGAAAAAGGTCTCCATTTGTATTGCCATTTTCTTTGGTCGCATCCCGGGAACAAGATCCCAAGGTCTCATGTTGTATCCCGCAGGCTCCTTCTCCATCGCATTACCTCCTTCCCCTGCCAAACACGCGCCCGCTCTCTACGTATGTACAGCCACGGTCACTCATCCATACCGATAGATCCTTCGTCCTCTATCTCTGGAGATAATGCTCAGGTGTTGGATCCCCTACCTTCATGTTACTTCCACCTTCTCTTGTTCTCCACCCCACCCCGCTCCACCGGCACCCCGTCTTGGCTACTTTACAGGTGGCTCCACTCTTGACTCACGCCCTCTATCGCTGCCTTTCGTTTAGAACGGCAGGTTCCAAGGTCATCCCCATTCGTTGTAGTTCTTGGGGTGGGTAACCCTGGGCGAGTAATTCTTTGACCTGGATTTTCTCCATTTCCACAACTGACTGCTCCCTTTGCAGCTCTAGGGAGAGGGGTATAACGGTCAGCATGCTGGCCATGCTGAAGTACCAGGCCAAGGAGATCCCCCAAGATAAGATCTGAGCGGTGGGGGGGAAGGAAAGAGGGGGGACATAGGGGGGCCGTGCATGATGAGTGTTTGGGAGGAACGCAAACTTATTACACAACAAGACAATGCACATACCTTCTTGCTGTGGCTGCGAACCCACTTCCTATAGCTGCCGGCTTGTGTGTATAAGTTTTTCAAGATACCCTGTTGTCCCGTATGTAACAGTTGGTGGGAACAAGGGGTGGCGGGAAAACGGATCGAGGACAATAGACATACCTTCATCCCATACAGACCGTCGTCCACACCGTCGTCCAGATCTTCAAAACGCACACTTTTACTGCTGGGCATGATACTTTGGCTTTTGAAGGTATACCGGCATCAGAGGAGCGTGAGAATCGGAAAGAGGAAAGGGGAAAACATGATGTTGTGAACGCATTAGCAGAAGGGTTACAGGAGGAAGATGTGGACACGTGAAGGATTCACAACATTCTTGTGAAGACGCAATCGTTGCAAACACTGCAATCTGAGTGAGAGCTGGAGAAGTGTGGCAGATTGTTCGATACTTTATCAAGAAATTTCAGTCAACCTATGACTAGCAGCAAGATATTTCGATGGAAGCCACGCCGTGGGAGTTGCGTCTCTGTGAAACAGCAAATCAAAAGGCAAACCCAACGTTCTCCCTTCATGCAATTTGTCAGTTCTATCAACTCGCTCTCGATATGGCAGTGCAGACAAGTACAGCAAAAGGCGAGAACCGTACGATTTTACAGGAGACCTTTCCGTCTCGCAACTCTCCTCCCGGGTATCCTACTAGTAGTAGTACTCGGAGGGCGAGAAATTGACGCAAGCGCTGACACTCTTGCCATGTTGAAATATCTACAGAGAACACACCACATTCTAGCCAAATAAAAATCCAAGCTACTCATTTGCATTAAAGATTTTTGGAAAATTTGGTTGACAAGAGATTGTGCTCACGTTATCTAAATCGGTTGGGCTTCGTCACGTGGGACTGACATCTAACGCTTTCTTAAGGCTCGCGCTCTCATCTTGTCAACATACGCAGCGAAACATTGAAGTGACATACTGATTAATCTGTCCGTTTTCATTTTTTTTTAATTTCTATGCTTCCCTTATTCCATCACCTTATGGCTTTCATTCCCAGTCCACTTGCTGTGCCTCTCCCTTCTAGTCCTTCTTCTCCTTCATTTCCTTCCCCCTGTTGATCATGAAAGTGCTACTTATATCATTTTTTTTCTTCTCTCTTCTCCTCTGCTCATCTCCACGAAGCGTTGGCCACCCTGTAAAATTCTTGCACCTCCAGATAATTCTATTTCCCCTAGACCTCTGTCGAGGTTCTTCTGCCGGTGTTTTGGCTTGCACTTCTCACTCTTTGATCAGTAACCATAAAAAAATCGTCAGATTTTTACCTTCTTTTCAGATCCTACATGCGACAATGCAATTAATTTACTCCAGAGGAGGGATCCTGGGTCGAATTATCATTTAGAAAAGCTAACCGATGCAACACGTTGCCACGCCTGCCTCGAAGGTGGGGTAATTTGCGACTGGATCAAAATAATACAAACATACATGCATGAATTTACAAAATAACTACTTCATGCAGGCATTTTCACGCCAATGTCCCGCGATCGATTTCTTTGTTTGCTGTTTTTCCCTACCCGCTAAGCGATGCATCGATGGGCCGTAGCTGCCAATCGCGGGTGAGCAATGTGACACAAGCCGGATAGGAAGTTATTTTATGCATATCAGATCACAATCTTATCATGAACGTAGTACACATTCACGCCCCCGAGCTTTACCCTGATATTTCATGCGCAAACAACATCTTGTTTATCCTTTTTATCGGGTCACTCAAGCGTTCCAAGGGTGGGAGGTTGCTTCTCGCCCCATCTTCCTTACTTGGAGTGCCCCTTGCGTTCTACAACACCCCAAAAAAACAGCCACAGATACCGCGCAGGCGGGATGCTCATTGTGTATGGTCGAGTATCGACAATTTTTTGTTCCTATAGGCTTGGATCACTTAAAATTCGTAAAGCGGTCAGCATGGTTCATGTGCCACCACCCACCACCACTTCAGGATACTGCCTGGCGTTCGTAGCCCATATACTCACAGCACTTTTTCCCTCTATCTTTTCTCTTTTCCTACTGTCCAATGCTTAATTGCAGGGAGATAGGGTCGTACAACAGGATTGATAGCTCTTCCTTCGACGTGAGACGTGGTGATGGCGTCCACACTTAGCCAACAACTGGCGGCCGTGCGGGCCGCCGGGGTAGCTACATCGTCAGGTACATGCATCGTTTACGCGTGAGGGGTTAAAGATGTAATGCAATTGGTCTACTTCGATGATACTGGAGCTAGTTGGCTTCAATATTGGAATGGCATGTCATGGTGTTGTCTTTCAGAGCCCCCTTTCACAGATGCTCCAGCTTTCCCCTCTCAATCTTCATGTCTTACACGGGCCGCATGAGCCATGTGCTTGTGTACAGGAAGATGTCGTGTGCCTTTTGATGTTCCTATGGACACTAGCTACCGTTGTGTCCATCGTGTCTTAATTGTATTGGCATCATGCTTTGTCGGTATGCAAGTTTAGCTAGTCGACTAACCTCCTTCCTGATCCATCATGCCTTCATGCACATCATGTTGGCTTTGCGGGGACATTAGGTATACAAGCCACCCGTCGAGGGGGTCAGCAACGTCCATCCATCCTTTTTTGACGGCAAAGAAGCTGCGGATGTGGATACCTTTACAGTACATCAATTGGCCTGCGAGGGCCTGGAACGCCTCGCGGCCCACGAGCCCCGCCTGGGCCCATTCCGATCCACTCTTTTCTCGGATGAATCCCAGAGCTTTGTGCGGGAACTTCAGACCCGGGAGGTGAACCAGCAGCTGGACGCCTCCCTCCAGACTTGCCTGCTTTACCTCTCGCCCTTTGTCGGGGAGGAGGACGGGGCGCGGGTGGCGGAGTACTTGGTCCGTCGCTACGCCGTCCACGCGCACTGCGCCCCGGCCTTGTTGACCTGTTTCCTCCCTTACCACGACCGCCCCGTCTTTCACCGGGTCGTGCGCTTGCTCCGCTTGGACGCGGGAGGCCCCGTCAAAGCTCTTGCCTGCTGGCTCCCTTTGCTTCGGCCCTGGCTCCTGTCCTCGACCGCTTCGTCCGACCCGCCCCCCACCCTTCCCCGCCCCGCCCTCGTCCGGCACTGTCTTAAAGAACCGGGCTTCCTTCGTCTCCTCCTCTTTACCGCCAGTCACGCCTGGGAGCAGGGTACCCTTGAACACCACCCCCGCCTACAAGCCTTGTGCTCGGCGGTGGTTCTGGAGGCTTTGGACCGGCTCGGGCCCTTGACGGAGCAGCACATGCGGACGTTGCTTCCCCCGCTTCTCCGGGCCGTAAAAGCCCGAAGAATACCGAGGGAATTCAAACTCACGGCTTACATGGCCCTGGGTAAGCTAGCGTCGACCACGGCTTTGTCCAGCACCGCCGCCGTCGCCCTCCTTGTGGCCCTGACGGAGGGCTTGGAGCAGGGCGGGGAAGAGGAAGGGTTGAGCGTCCTCACAACGGTCATGCATACCCAAGGTTTAACCCGCCTCCCTCCCCGGTGTTTGCGAGCGTTCCTACGCTCGCCCTCCCTCCCTTCCTCCATCCCGCCCTCCTCCCCTCCCTTGGTATCTGCGCTCCTTGGGCACGCCCAAACCCACCCCTTGACCGAGGCCCTCCTGGTCCCGGCCGTGCTGGAAGGCGGGATGGAGGGCTTGACGGAGGGCGAGGTGTCGGCGGAGGAATTCTTGCACCTGGTCAGAATCCTGCGTCCCCTGAGGTGCATGGAGCAGTGGGTCCCGGGGTTGGTGTGGGGAGTGGCCTGCCTTGTGGGGGAGGGGGGGCGGAGGGCGGGGCGGAGGGCGGGAAGGGAGGAAGGGCGAGAGGGTGGTTGGTAAGGGTT